AACCTGCTGATACAGAGTTCTTACTTAAAGAGCCGATGGGATTGAAAACACTGACTTTTCTTTACTTAAACTTTTACCAGATGAAAATATCCAGTTGAATCTTAGATGTTCCACTCATGTTCCCATGCTAAGCCTCACTGTGAACAGCTCTGTTTAAGTTGGTTAGTTAGTTGGTTAGCTAGTTAGTTAGTTAGGCAAAATCCAATGAATCCCAAGCTGCCCTTGAATTCACTACATAGCTGTGGATGGCCTTGAACTCCTGATCCTCCTGCCTCTACCTCCCACTGCTGAGATAACAGGAGTTCTCCACCACACCCAGCTTGAACTCTTGGGTTGATTTGTGTTTGTGCCCTCAGTGGCTCTCCAGCCCAGGCCACCAGAATGCTGCAGAGGTCAGGAGACCCCCGGCATTTTGGTCAGCAGATGTCTATGGGTGTCCCTTCCTTTGCCAGGGACTCTACTCTCCAGAGAATGTGGCAACTCAAGGGAGAGGCGCTCTGGTGGGCACGAGATGGGAGGGTCTCGAATCCAGAGCCCTGGGGAAGAGCTGCCTGGCCAGGAATTCCTGGGTTATGGGTGGGTGATTGACACTTGTGTGGGCAGCTGGAATGCCATGAACTGTGAAGGGGGCAACTTCGAGGAGGGGTTTCCCCAGGACAAAGGCCGGTCACTGCTGCTGGACCACAGGGCACATGGAAGCCATCTTGGGGCTCCTGGACCTCAAGAAGTAGGGTGGAGGTGCTGGGTACATGCCTGTTTTTGAAAGCATGGCACCCCAAGGCTGGGAATGACAGGGCTAGGGAAAGATTCAGGAGTTTCTGGAAATGCCAGACACAGCCTGTTCTGCAGCACGTCTTGCTGGGTGCCTGCCAGCTGTTCTGGCCAGTCTTTCCAGGCTCTGAGGCAGAGGGCTGACTGGAGCTGGGGGGGTGTGGGGGAGGAAGGAAGTTCACTGCCAGACATAGTTTGAGGGAGGGCTACTGACCTCTCCTGGGGCCTCAGGGCTGGGTCTGGCTCCGGAGCCAGCTCTTGCAGATCCCCCCAGGCCACTCACTCAACCTCAGTGACAGTGACAGACTCTTTCTCCTCTCACTTTGCTGGCTGCACTCCCTCGGTCTCAACCAGGGGCATCTCTTCTCCTACCTTCAATTCACCTCTCCACTCCAAAGACAACAGAAGCCACCTCAACCAGCCTGGGTACAGCACCTGTGTCTCCAGCCAGCTCTGCCTGGTCCAATCTCTGTGACTTCCACCCCCAACCACCTCTACAGAAGGAGTTTCAGGCCAGTCAGCCAGGGCCACACAGCGGGGCTCTGTTTCAAAAAGAAGGAAGGAAGAAAGGAAGGAGGGAAGGAAGGAAGGGCCTGAGAACAGCAGGAGGATACTAGGAAGTAGTTGGGATGCCCCAGGTCCAGCTCCATCTTCCACTCTGGCTCTTGCAGACTTTTTCAAGGGCCTACCTGGAAAGCCAGCACGCCCTCACCCGAAGCCAGCTGCTGTGGAGTCATCTGTGCCCAGCTACACCTACCCCTTCTGCTCCTCAACAGGGATCAGCTCAGCCTCTGCCCAACAGCTTACATTAGCCTTACAGCACACAGGCTCTAGGAGCATTGCACCCGTGCCGGCCAGCGCGGGCAGACAGACGTTTTAGCTTTTTTGCCCTCCGTGGAGGGTGAAGGGACCTATCAGAGACATGTTCCATGGAGCTCCCCACCCCAGAGATTCCCAGCAGCACTGATCCCCGGCAGGACTCTGCTCAGTCACCACCCAGAGCCCTTCTTCCTTCCTTCCCCTGGATCACCTCCCAAATAAACCACTTGTACTTGAACCTCTGCCTCAGGGTTCCCAGAATTCATTGTGCTCAGCTTCACCCCAGGTCAGTTACTTGCTGTCCCTCTCCAGAAACATGTCCCCTGCCTCTGTCCAGAGAGCCCTAGTCATATTGAATACTCAGCCTAAGATACTTGAGTCCTGAAGTCCTGTTGTCCCTGCCCTGAGGCTGGGCATCTCCTGCACCTCTGCGCATGTCTCTGTCCCAAATCCCACCACATTCTACTCTAGTCACCCTTGCATTGGACAATTCTAGGGACCAATGGCTGTGAACTTTCACCTTTGTCCACCCAGTGCCCTACATAGGCAAGGGCACATCACAGGCATTAATAAATAAATAAATGAGCAATGACGACAGCTTCAAGCCTCCAAAGAATCCTTGTTCATTCCTTCACTCAGACATCTACAGAGAACTGGGCCAAATGTGGGGAGCCTGGCTCATAAATCATAGACACAGTGACTGCCCAGAGAGAGGCAGCACTGGACCAGAGTGATGGGGCATGACAGAGGCTAACAATGGGGCATTTCGGGGGCCTGGGGGAATCGTCACAGCGTCTGGGGTGCTGGGGGCCAGAGAAAGCTTGATTAGGAGGTGCACCCTCCTTATGCTAGCCCCACCCGTCCTCTTCCTCTTCACAGAGCTGGAGAGTCAGGAAGGAAAGGCACAGACAGTCTCATGGAGCTCCTGCAGTCAGTCAATCCTCCTTCCCTCAAAGACAACATCCACCCTGCCGGCCATGCCCAGTTATGTCTTTGCGTACTTTCTGTATGAGTGTGATACTATGTTGTGTGTTTTGTTTTTACTTGTTTGTTTATTTATGTTTTTATTTTGAGACAAGGCTTCACTATGTAGTCCTGTCTGGCCTGGAACTCACTATGTAGACCAGGCTGGCCTTGAACTCAGAGTGGCCTACCTGCTTTCCCAGGGCTTAAAGGCCTGTGCCATCACACCATGCACACTTATGTGCATGATGTCATACTATGGGTACTCTTCTCTCTACATGTGCATATATTTTTTAATCACACTATGCTTGTGTGATTTTAGCCTTTTTGATGTGTTGTTCTAGTTCATTCATTTTATCTCTTATGTGTATTCCATCATCGTGTGTGTGTGTGTGTGTGTGTGTGTGTGTGTGTGTGTGTGTATCATCATGTGTAGTCACTCTTCAATATTAAAATATAGTCTATTCCTTTATTATTTTTATGTGTTCATTAATTTTTAATTAAAATTGTTTTTACATTTATTTATTTCTTTGTGGGAAGGGGGCATTCACACCACCACACACATGCGAGGTCAGAGGACAAGGTGAGACTGTGTTCTCTCCTCCTATCATGTGGGTCTCTGGGATCAAACTCAAGTCATCAGGCAGCAAGTGCTTCTACCCACTAAGCCGTCTCAGACATCATTTGTTTTAATCTGTCCAAACTCTCAATTAATTTTTCCAAATATCATCACAATTCTTTAAAAAATTAGTAATCACCATTTCTTCATACTATGAAGTTACACAGTCCAATATGGTATCTATTAGTCATATGGGGCAGGCTCTCTTTCTCTCTCTCTCTCTCTCTCTCTCTCTCTCTCTCTCTCTCTCTCTCTCTCTCTCGGCTCTTGGAGATGAACCCGGGGCCTCCACACCTGCTCAGCCTCTGAGCTACATGCCGATCCACAGCCTATTTGAATTTAAATATAAATTGTTGGCCTCCTGTGCTTAGAGGCTACATTAGTGGACAGCAAACACACGAGTTAGTGCACTCTGTCATTACAGAAGACTGAAGCATTTCAACCCCGATGACTCTGTGTGGACCCACAGGTCAAAGGATGACGTTCAGAGACAGGGAACTGGAGGTCCCTTTCCACTAGCCAGATCCTAAGAGTCAGAATGGAGGAGGGAAAGGAGGGAGGGTGACAATCAGGAGGGAGGGTGACAATCAGGAGGACAGTGACAGTGAGGAGCACCTGCTGTATGTCAGGCACTGTCCTATTCTGCTGCCCTGACAGTCACCATCTCCAGCATCGCTCTGGTGGCCATTCCTAACTGTAGTCTGAGGCTGATTCACCAGCTGAGTGGCCCAGAACAAGCCACAGTCTCAGAGCCTCTGTTTCTGGGTAAAATGGATGGGTAACACTGAGCTCCTGGGTGTCCTGAGCACCGGGAAGCTGCCCGTGGTGCAGGACACGTCACAACCCCGCACTCGGGCTCTGGAGTCAGATTGTCTGGCTCCGAATCTTAGGTCTGCCACTTACTAGCCATGTGACATTGGTAAGTCACTTCAGCTCTCTGTGTCTCCGCTTTCCCACTTTCAAACTAGGGGTCATGAGAGCCGGGCTGTGGTGGTGCATGCTTTTAATCCCAGCACTCTGGAGGCAGAGTTGGAGGCCAGCCTGGTCTACAGAACCAGTTCCAGAACAGCCAGGGCTACACAGAGAAACCCTGTCTTGGAAAAACAAAAACAGAAACAAAAAGCTGTCTTAGGGCTGAGGACGTGGCTCTGTTGGTCCAGTGTTTGACTAGGTGCTAAAAGCCCTGTATTGGGTCCTCGGCACCGCACAAACCCGATGCGCTCTCTCTTGCTTATAATCCCAAAACACAGGAGGTGAAGGCAGGAGGATCAGAAGTTCAAGGTCAGACTTGGGTACATATCAAGTTCAAGGTCAGCCCAGGATGCAAGAGACTGTCTCAAAATACAGATAAATAAATAAATAAATAAATAAATAAATAAATAAATAAATAAATAAATAATACAATGAAAGCATAGCCCCTGACACATAGTAGATAATTGTAAAATTATACTAAAACAGCCCCCTTCCCCCACTCCATCCTCACCATCCTAGAATTATAAAATTATAAAATTCAGAGCTGGGAAGTTGGGGAAATCACCATTAACTCTCTCTCTCTCTCTCTCTCTCTCTCTCTCTCTCTCTCTCTCTCTCTCTCACAC